CAAGAAAGTGACTAGCTTCGCGACACTTAAGAATCCTATAATGGAAAAATATGTTTACGGATATCAGTTAACAATACTCGAGATACGCGCGCACTGACTTTGCCGGTACAAGGCCCGCGTTAGCAGTGGCGTACGATGTATTATGCTACTCTTCCTATTTGGTACCAGAGTTCTATTTATACAAGATTCACCATTTTTGAGGGTCCTCCTGTTTTTGTCAAATTTTCCATCAAGATTAGACATACAAGATTTTACAAATCCCCTATCTTTTGGCAGCGAAAATGTTGTTCACTGTCAGTCCAAATCGGTATACTAGGGTTTTTAGGAAATGCCGGAGGAACAAAACGTTTCTATTTCTCTTCTTAAGTTTTAATTCTCTATTGAACCTTTGAGCTTAGGTGAATGAATTCCGAAGATTCTTTAAACTTTGTGTATGAAAGACATTCGTCAAGCTAGAAGGCAAATTATTGCCTTGTGGTCAATTAGATGTTTCTAACCTGGATTTCCAAGAAAATCGTCTCTTTCTAGCAAGGTGGACGGCGTCTGGTATCCGTAGGCTGGTAGCCACGGGTTACCGCCACTATCCAAATCCACAGGTTGTCCCGGCCACTCGCTGAACGCCACCTCTTCCATCATCCTGTCTTCCAGTCATTCACTCCACGCACAAACTCACTTTCCTCCTCTTTCAACTTACTCGCGAACTCTTCACATCGCGTGTCCCTCGCAAGGACGGAAAACAAACAAACGACCGATGGCTGTCAAAACGTCAAACTCGCGACGCGCGTGGCACCCTCGATTTTGTTTGTATCCGTTCGGCGTCCGCTCCTCGCTATGGCAACAGCCTGCCGAGACGTGGATGACGGTAAAAAACGCGCTCGGCCAGCGAACAAGTTGTTGTTTCAAGCGCGACGTGGAGTCGCGGGTCACGTGATCAGAGGCACGCCAATGGCCGCGGAGAACGGGTTTTCAGCGGCCGCGGCGCACAGGTAAGAAAGGTGTTTGCGACGTTGTCGGATCTTTCATTTTGTACTGAAATCGGTAGCATCATCTGCAGGATTTATAAATGCAAGGTTTTTTTCTTGTTTAATCTCATAAATAAATATAGTGATAGAAAATCAATAGTATACAGACATTTGTACACTATTATAAACTGAATAAGAATAGTATTTGAACCTTACAATTCACAAAATCAACATACAACAGAAAGTCTTCGAAATTCATAAGCACAACATTGCAATCATTTAGGTAGCTCTGTGAAAAACTATTCTATTATGTGCTATGCCGATGATACACAGATATATAAGAGCTTTAATAGTAACACTTTACATACTTCAATCAATGAGCTTAATGATGATTTGGAGGCAATAGTAGGATACTCAAATGGTATCTTAAGCTCAATAAGGATAAGTGCTCAGTGATGCTTTTTTGTCCTGCTGTCAAACGTAACACTATATTGAATTCTCTTGACGTAAAAATCGATAAGGAGCGTCTAGCTGTCGTAAATACTACAAAAAATGTGGGGTTGATTATTGATTATACTTTACGGTTTAAGGAGCATGTTTCGTCTATCTTAAAAAAATGTTATGCAACTTTGAAGTGTTTCTATGTCAATCGCTCTATTTTGAATTTTAAAGTTAGAAAAAAGCTATGTGAGGCTATTATATTTCCTAGCTTATTTTACTGTAGCACTGTGTTCTATCATTGTCTTGATTCTATCACAAAAGCAAGACTCCAAAAACTCCAAAATACTTGTTGTCGACTTGTATTTAGTCTCAAGAAGTATGATCATGTTTCCTTAAAGAGATTTCAGCTTGGTTGGATGTGTATAGGAAATGCATGCAAGTACCGTATAGCAGTGTTTACACATAAGATCATATCTTCTCGCTCCCCCTTGTATCTTTATGAGAAATTTGTTCTCAGACGAAGTAATTCAGACATTGATTTCAGACACAAAAAAGACTAGAGATCCCTATGTATAAAACAACTTTATTTCGTAGTTCATACACTTACAATGCTATCCTGATTTATAACGAATTAGATGACAATATAAAGGATTGGCCAGTAAACAGATTTCGTAAGCATGTGAATCAGAATTATTTGTCATTGCAGTAATTGTGGAAAAGTTAGTTTTCAATTCTTTTGTTTTATTTTATTTTTACGTAATATATGCGTCTATATATGTATAGCTATCAAGTTTGTTTGTTTTGAAGCGTCTTTAGCTGCTTGTCAAAGTTTCCTTTGACTAAGTGTTTCAATTTATTATTTGGGTAGGTTAAGTAGAGTAGCCAAGAGCTAGACTTCGCCTACGTAGAGGTCACATTATATTGTAGTTTTTATAATGTGCCTAATAAAGACATTTTATTATTATTATTATTATTATTATTTCTGGACATTTTAAAACCTCTACATCTAGAAAATCCATGTCACTATTTACTATCGATCTTTGTGTCTATGCATGTAAAGTTTCCATATGTTACCACGTATAACTGCATCAATGTTGTATTGTATTAAAATGTTTTTAATGTTGAGGGTTCCTTACAAACCAGTAATCTTTTTCATTTCTGAAAATGTCTCAGCAATGGCGGAATTAATAGCAAGAATGAAAAGATGGAAATATAATTAAAGTTATGTTTTTTCAAGCTTATGATTCAAAATTCTGGAGGTAGGTGACACACAAGCTTAATGTTGAGGCTGGTGATCATTCTATTATAGCGACACATGTTTTTATTTATACATAATTATATTACAGTTTGTTCTAAGGTCGTTAGTTTGCCTCAAACCAATTTAATTATTCGTCATAATTCATTTCTCCCATTTCTAATACATACAAAGTAAATGTAATAATAAATAATAAAATGGTACAGATTTCATTTGATAAAAATATATTCTTAAATGTTTTAATCCGTTATTTTGACTAATCAAAAACTATTAGGTACTACATATACTAACATATAAATTTAGGAACCTATCATACGCGTATTATCTCCTCTGAGGCATCTCCTATATCCTAGCCAATAAGAGAAACCTCAGATGTTCAACAAATTACTTCACTGACGTTCCAGCTGACACGGTCTCCTTTTCAAATGTGGCAAAGTAAAAACCATAATAAATATTAAATGATCAATTATTGCAACCGTATTTAAAATCATTGATACCAACTACATTGCAAATTAGTAACAGTATTCTGAGCCATCAAGATTCCGCCACTGTACTGCTGGAATTCCATACAAACCTCGGCAACCAGTAATACACATGTCAGTGTCGAGTTATGCATTTCGATCTCGAGCGATGTTGATTTCCTTTATATAGCAAAAAACAAAAACAAAATGGAAGGTATATTATGCAATATATTTAACAGTAATCAAATATACATAGGTCAAGTCTAAGTCATGGAGGTCATCTTAACAAATAAGCTATATGACACAGTGAACAAAAAATCAACAATTCAAGCTAAAATGTATATATCAATGCATCTGCTTGGTTGTCACTCGATACACGTCCGGTGGCAGCTCACAACACTTTTATAAATTCCTACTATAGATACATTTTGCAATGTAAATCTGGCAACAGTGGATGCACTTTCAATGCAGTGGCAGTTCGAGATTTCAGGCTAAGCGTGCTTGCGGAATAGGCGTACTTGACCAGTGGCGGGGTAAATTCTCCTTCAAAAAAGTGTCTACTTCAAGAGGGCTCTACATATACCAGTGTCAGTAGAATATACGTTACTTTTTCTCAAAGATGTAGACATTTTTCCACATGTCTTGTAACTGTTCAGCGATTTAGCGCAGTGGAATGCATCTCTGAATATGTTTCGCTATACTGCATATACCTACTTTTTCCATAAATTTAAAGGCCTAGAAACATCTAATAATGTATGCACATTGCTGCAGCTTGTAGCATAGCACCGAGTGTTGTTCTGAGCCGACCTTCAAGACATTCTTAGATACCCCAGGCAGTGTAATTTTTAAAATCAGTAGGAAATATCGAACAGTTCGTTGGGAAGACGAATAATGACTGGATGTAACTCATGCGATGAGATAAGAAACGACTTTAAAGTTTTAATAAGGAATTGGTTATTACAAATAACATGTTTTTCCTGTCGTCATGCTAGCTGGAACATTAATTGAAAGGTGTCTAAAAATCTACACAAGGTTTGTATTAAATAGAAAAAACAGGTTTTCTTTAGATTTTCTATTGTATTATCAAGTATACGAAATATCGTTATGTATTGGAATAGCAGATCAGGCATATGGCCTCTTCAGTTTTGTTGGCATATGCGCACTCTTTTATCGAAATTTTCTTTGATTATTCTGCATAAATTTGGCAGATTTTTGTTGATGCTGCGTTGGGTTTCCCTTATTCAATCCATGGGTGTGTGTGTGTGTGGACTTCTTTCTGTCTAAATTGAACTGTTGATTTGGGTAACACAATACATGTGACTTAGGAAGACGGTGCAACTTGCCACAGCTCAATTCCACGGTAATATTTGCTCTTATATCTAATCTATTAGTAGATATAACCCTATCTCGCGTACTATACTCGTATACTCTAACTACTCTAACAGAAAAATGACAATCCAAAGAAGAAAAACTGAGTCTATTTAGTTCAAATCTCATGTGATTTTAGAGTACGATTTAGTTTCACAACTTAAAATCATTAAAGAAAAAATATTTTTTTAACAGTCCATGGTTTTTCCAGATATTTAAGAAATAACTATGTATATTAATTTCTTGCGCAATCTTGTCATAATGAATCCACACTAATCCACATTGCGTCATTTATTTTTAGGTGAATACGTAGGTACATTCGCATTCACAATAGAAAACGATGTTCTCACGTTTGTTAGAAAAAATAATGGGTTCCATTCCTTTCTAATGGCATCCTACCACCATTATGTAGCAATTCTGTAACTGCAGAAGTACAAAATGTAAATTTTACGTTACTTTTGCAGTCTTAAGAGCTGTTTTACTTTTTCTTTCACTTAGAAATAACACTCAAGCCAGCATTATCATTTCTGTATTTATTGAAGATGCTTTGATATTAACATTGATACTACAATATCACTACGCTCTAGTCATGTAACGTTCTGTTACGGAATTGTGCTAATCTTCAATTAGCGCTCTCAGTAGGGTGATAGCTGATAGAGCTTTCTGAACCACCTGAAAATTAAAATCATAGTACCGGACGTTTTAAATTCGACTCTCACCATTGTGATCTCGGACACGGTAAGATACGAAGAAGGTTGAATAGAGTCAAAGTTTCGGATTTAGGTAGATACTCAAAAAAATGGTAGCGAATATTTCCGGAGATGGACAAATTGTTACAAAATAGTTTTTATTTTTTTCTTGACTTTATTTGCTAGCTAGCATTATCGTGATGCTACACTCAGTTGTTCTTGATCAGATGAACGATGATGTGGGTCAAATTTAACGATATCAACGCACAAAAAAATCGCTAAGGTCAACCAAATGACTTGATCGGGTTCACTTGTACTGAATGTGGATTACATGTCCCCCTGTCTCCACTCTAAGCCCGGCGCCTCCAGTGCTGCCAGATCGAACGCAACGTTGCCACTCTCATCACTTAATTTGTAGTATCTGTCATACATTGACATTGTCAAAGTAATTTTCCGCAAGACTACTTGTCTTTCTTTGTATTAAACTGTTTGCCTATGCCTAATTCAGAAGAATTGTTTGACTGATTATATGATGAAACAAATGACTATGTGATAATTTTAAGGCTTTTTAAAAATATTTTTATTTTAAATAAGTATAATCTTACAATAACAATGTATGGTATATTATACATTTTTTAAATGATAACTAAAAAATCTATCCATCTTTGTAAACATCCAATATGGCCTCTATAAAAAAATAAAGTTGATGATTGAGCACAAGTGATAGAACATCGTATTAAAATTCTAGCTTGTAGAAAAGGAAAACTGGCAATGGTACATTATTTTGAATTCCAACCACAAATAAGGTCGGGTAGAAATAAAAACGATTTTGTTAAAATTCAGTTTTTCTTCTCCGGGCATACTCTCACAGCAAAACTTTATAAGTGACCTTTTCTTAGTTACCTACATGCGCGACCTGATCCCCATTAACTTTCTTCGTATCGCCTGCCATTATTACGATTCCAATGGTTAGAGTCGAATTTGAAACACCTGGTAAAGATTATACAGGGTGGCCCATAAGTCCTTTGAGCTGGAAAAAAGGAATAAAACCAAACTAGTTACATTATGAAGAATTATTATATTTTGTTATCATCTTTATTGAATGGGAATTATGTTTTAAAAATCACATCGTCTAAATGCAATCCATTACGATCACGGCACTAATATAAACGACGTCTAAAATTGTCGATGACTGCGTGGCAAGTCAACACTGTAATGCTTGCCATTTCTCTTCGGATATTTTCTTTCAGGACATCAACTGATCGCGGAGTGGTGTCGTACACTTTACTCTTGAGGTAGCCCCATAAAAAGAAGTCCATTGGGGTCAAGTCTGGACTACGTGGTGGCCAGGAAATGTCTCCTCTTCGAGAAATTACTTTGCTGGGAAAAAGTTGACAGACGACGGGCATAGAAGTGTTGGAGGTGTGGGCAGTTGCTCCGTCCTGTTGAAACCAGGTCTGCGTATTATAGCCTGGAAAATTCTGCAACGCTGTTGTCAAAAACTCCTCTATCATTGCTACATACCGCTCCGAAGTAACAGTTAATGCGCGACCTCTGTCGTCCTCAAAAAAATAAGGGCCTACGATGCCATGCGCTGACATAGCAGCCCAAACTGTAACTTTAGGGCTGTGTAAGGGTTTCTGATGCTTACGCCTTGGATTTTCGGGGCTCCAATAACGGCAATTTTGTTTATTTACATGCCCGTTTAAATGGAAGTGAGCCTCGTCCGAGAACAACACATTATTGAGCGAAGAAAATCGATTCAACATTTCATTCGCAAAGTTTAGTCTCTGAATAGCGTCATTATCTTTTAATTCCTGCACTAACTGAATTTTGTAAGCGTGCAGATGTAAATCTTTCCTTAAAATCCGCTGTAAAGATGTTCTGGGTACGTTTAGTGCACTGAAACGCTTACGAGTAGACTGGGTAGGATTTTGACGAACAGACTGTGCCACAATGTTGATGTTTTCTTCAATACGAGTTGTCCTTGGTCGACCCCACCGCTGTTTATCTAACGTCGAACCAGTCTCTTCGAACTTAGCAACCCAGTTCTTAATCGTTTGAGCTGTTGGACACTTTGTAAAATTGTGTAAATTGTGGTATTCTCGATATTTACGCCGCGCAATGGTTGCCGAAACATTATTTTGATAAAACGCGCGCACACAAAAAGCACGATCCGCTCCAGTGAAACACTCCATGGCGACTGAATTCCCAGACACTGAAAATACTGCCCCCACCTCGCCCGCGCCGCTCACGCTCACCCGTTAAATTTTATTCAAATTTGAAATTTCAAAGGACTTATGGACCACCCTGTATTATAATTTTGTAACCTTTATATCGCTTATGCATGAATCGAAAACCGTCACTTTAAAATAAAAAGATATAATCGCAATTAGTGGAAACTAATTTGTATAAAAAAACTAATCATACGGCAATAAGAACTTCATTATCAACGTTAGCCATCCCACCAGCTGTGATCGTGATCCCTTTTTCTGTGTTCATCATCACAAAAACTAAGGCTCTCTTCAACGGTGATTTGAAGAGGTACCAGTCTGAGTTTTCTAATGCGTCTATCACAGAAATACTCTGGAAATATGCAATGATATTAAAAGATAAAGCAGGGATGGAACACTCTATGACAAAAAGTGTTGGATGAACTGTCTCTGTCTCATAGCACAAAAAGTTTGATCGTACAGTTTATTTTTGTTTATATAAAAGACAAGCTTCGAATATTTACGTCTGTGAACTGTCTAGCTTTTATTCAGAGACAACTTTTTTAGGAACCATTTTCTTAGATGTTCGCAAAAATACGATGAGGTTTTCAGAAATATCGGTATTTTTAAAATATATCAGCACAAGTATCATATAATGCTATTGCTAATACTGTCGTATTTTGTTAGGTCCCATACCCTTTGATAGGTGATTCTACTTTTGGTTTTGATGTTAATCAACAGCTGACACCCTAACATATACTTAAAGACTGCACCTCATAAAAAGTGTTTTCTAATGAAAAAATCAAAGAGATACGTTCATTTGTTCGTGCTTTTTACCTGTTCTCTCAAATCTGAAGCTGGAATGGCATAAAATGCAAGTTGTATCATACAAGAACCAGTCAGATTGAATAACATAGTAGTTTTGGTAAAATCGGCATGATCCTGAAAAATATATCAATTTATGAAGAATGGAGAAGAAATATGCATACTGTTTCTTACAACACTTAGTATGTAACCGTTGATAACAAGGACTGCGTAGCTCATGAACAGCTGAGGTGTCAAAATCCGGGAGCAGAACCGTTCGAGTTCTCTACCAAAGCTACAAATAGCAAAGCTTAATGCTTGTAAACGTTGGCTCTAAGCTTATAATACGTTGTATATGGCACAAGAAGATACAATACAGGCAAAATTGATTTAATACTTGGACTAACAAGATATTTATATTAAGCTCGTATCTTATGACGAAAAAATCTGAAGTCGTATTCCCATTCAGGAGGCAAAAATACGTGAAAATAATGTAACTCCTGAAATTTATCCTGTGGTTTTCATGTACATAGGACTCCATTGTCTGGCCGAATAAAAAAATTCAGTGTACAAAATAGATTGTGACTTTGGTAAATGCTACATCAGGGAAACATTAAGACCTGTTGAATGAACAATAAAAGGCTATGCAACAAAGGGAGAAACGTCAAATTCAGCACTAATCGAGCACGTATAGCACACGTATAAAGTGAGGTGAAGTCTCAATATTGCACAAAGAGCATAACAATTATTACAAGAGGGAGGTATAGGAATCAGGCTACATAAAATTAAACAATTGTGTTTATAATTCTTCTATGGACTGTGACACAATTTGTTTGAGTATCCTTGGAGGAAAGATGTAATTCATATTTTCCAATCTAACTATTGAACCATACGTTTTTTGCTTCCACTTTTTTTTCTTGTGGTTTGTTATTGGATCTTGAAGGCGCAGATGTTTTAATCGTAATCTCAAAGCCAAACCATGATCATATTATTTAATCACAGGGCAAACAACATAGTTCCCTTCAGATGTCGAAGTACTATTTTTCGCATTTGGTGGCTTTTCACGCTCTCAGAGAACTTTTGGCGTTCCCGAGACGATGGAAGAGGGTGACGTGTCGACAATATTGATCGGTGATCTTTTGTTTTTTGTTCCCCTTCCCCTCTCGAGTCTGGATCGGAGCGTTTCGACGTCGATGCGGTTTTTCCGGTTTGTTTTCCGGGTTCGCGAGAGGAATTAACGGAAAGCGATACCGTTTCGGAAACTAGAAACTCGGCGCTTTACGGGCGAGTGAGAACCGTCTTGGTGCGAGGCGAAGAACGTTTTAAATTGGCTGTTAAAGTCGAAAAAAGGGCAGATTTTCGTGCTGTTCGATATTCAATTTATATCTCCTCCAAAGATAAAGGAGCTACGAACCTAACGATATCTGCGTGAGAAAGCTCAGGCATCGGACATTAGGATAGCGTCTTTTTTTATTTCTTTATTCCTTTTCGTTCAAAAGTTTCGATTTTTTAAAATTCCTCGACTATATGCTACTTTTCGATATTATGACAGAGTCTCCATGTTTCCGGCTTTGTTCTGGCCTTTTGCTACTATATACATGCAAGTTAAAAATTTATTGAAAAATAAATATTTTGAGCGAAAGAAACGAGGCTGACTATTAGAATTCCCGTTAGATTTCGAAAAAGCAAACTTTTAGAGCCTCAAAGGTACTGATGACAAGCCATTTTTGGGCATACTCTGTCTTCTTCGTTACGAATCGAGATAGCTACGATTTTTTTTCGCAAAACGAAAGATCAAAGTCACCTGTATAACCGGATACACACACACACACACACACACCTTAACCGATGGCGTTTTTTATACTCGGCAGATTACTAAATTCCAAGATAATATGCAATAATTTTGAGTCTGACAGATGTTACCTTCCCCTGTTCTGGATTTATCCCGAGATTCGGGACTCCTATTAGGCGAGGTATTGTAGGTATGATAATATTTCAAAAGCGAGCGCGTGCTAGCGGAACGTCCAACACGTGCCATTTTCGGCTTTATGACGATCGCTTCATCCAAATTGGATCATGCCGAATAGCATTGACCTTTTTTGGCATGGAAATAAACATTTTTAAATAGAATTATATTCTATATTCTAAGTCTACCGGGCTATAACAACCAAGCACGTTGCGTTGTGTACGAACTAAATTCGCTTGTCTAGTACATTAAAAAACGCTTATCGCTTTGGGGGCTGGTCGTCCTTTTGGAAGCCTACCCGAGGAGGTCCTGGGCTTTACTGCTTTTACACGGTGCCATTTTAAAATTGCAATGATGAATGACATTAACTACACTTGATATATGTGTGGTGAAAAATGAGCGAACAAGTAAAGCGAAAATAAATGTCAAAGTACCCACTGTTCAGTTGAATTGAAATTCCAAGTACGGCTCTGTCGTAAAATCCGTATTTACATTGTAGTCGTACGTCGTATAACTGTACGGTGGCGCTGGCGCTGTGGTCGTGATCGAGGGACAGGTCAGGACCGGCGTCGATTTGGTTTAGGTTTGATTGAGTTTGCGGAGCCCAATATCTCGGTTCTCATAAGACATCGGTTTATATACTAAGTGACATATAAATCCGAACACCCAGTTTAAATGGTTTTATTTTAATAAAATTTTGTATAAGTACTTAATGAAGCATAATAAGTAAATGATAAAAATATCAAAATGATTGCACTGCTTTAAAGCCCTTTGACCTTTAATAATGTGTGGATGCACTCTGATGTGCTACGCATTCTCCAACGCGCCTAGGCATACTTCTGATCAGGTGGTCAATGTCCTCCTGTGGTATCTTATTCCAGGCAACCACTAACTCCTCTCGAAGTGCTTCTAGAGTCTGAGGAGGACGTTGCAAATTGAGCAATCTCCTACCCATCATATCCCACACGTGCTCAATTGGGGATAAGTCGGGAGATCTTGGTGGCCATGGTAACAATGTGACATAATTATGTTGAAAGAAGTCTATTGTGACTCTTGCAACATGTGGTCGGGCATTATCTTGTTGGAAAGTTGGATCTGCCAGGGTGTCAAGATAGGGTAAAAGATGGGGTTCTAGAACTTCGTGGATATAACGCTGCGCGTTCATGTTACCTCTGATGAAGATTAAAGGTGACCTGGAGCCATAAGCTATAGCACCCCAAACCATAACTCCAACAGTGTGATGAACATGTCTTTCAACAAAAAACTGTGGATTCCTCCTTTCACCACGCCGCCTTCTAACCCTGGCACGACCATCGTGCATGCTTAAACAAAATCGAGACTCGTCACTAAAGACAATACTGTTCCATTCCTGATCCCAGAGTGACCGTTGTCTGCACCACTCAAGGTGATTACGTCGGTGTTCTCGAGTTAAAGGGAGGACCCAGTGTGGCCGGTATGAAAACAAGCCAAAACTTCTCATTCGTCGGTAAACACTTCGCATGCCAATAGGTCTTCCGTGTTCTGCAAACCATTCATTTGCAATGGACCTGGTAGTGGAGAAACGGTCCCTTAAGGCCAATAATCTTAGGCGGCGATCTTCACGGTCTTTTGTTCTACGGCGGCGTCCAGTGCCCCTTGCTCTTTGCGTACGGCCTTCTCGAAGCCATGCCTGACAACACCTAACCACAGTGTCTACACTTCTTTGCAATCTGAATGCAATTGCCCGAAAAGAAAGTCCAGCTTCCCGAAGTCCCACTATACGGCCCCTATCAAACTCACTAAGTTGACGAAATCGTACAGGTCTCCGTACTCTAGGAATCGTAACCGATCGTAAAGGATGTCAAGAACCAAAATCCGCCAACGTTGATTCTTTACTGCGGCTGAAATATTTATTTTTAGAGCGTTAGTGAATTAAAAAAAGCAGTATAAAAACCGGAATGTCCAACTGATAAGGCTGAAAATTTTTTCATTTGTTATTTACAGTAAGAAAAATACATTCACCAACTTTTATTAAAATAAAACCATTTAAACTGGGTGTTCGGATTTATATGTCACTTAGTATATGATACTAGGAAAATCCGCTTATTTTCACAAGATCAACACGTCGTGTAAAGGAAAACCCCAACTTTTTGGACACCCCGCATATGAAAAGACTTGCCTCCAGCAAGTATTTTCTCTGAAATCACTGATCGGATGTTGATAAGATTGACACAGGTTTAAAACAAAGACAAACTTGTTTTATGGTTTTTGAAAAATTTAGAAGCAGCGAAGCTACGGACAAAGGGACATACAAAACAGAAACTGCTTAAAAGTTTCACGATGTTTTGGAATTACACATTTTTTCCATATACATATTTGTTATTGAAACAGAAATATAGTAGATGTATTTGTCGTCTGTCCGGTAATCCTTGACACTTCTCATCTGGGAAAGTACTGCTAGGATTTTGACGAATTTTTGACACGTTGCTGGGAATGGAAAAGCTTTGTAGGTTTTTGGTATTGAGAAGCGACCCAGCGGCGGCGGAATAATGAACAAAAACGGAAAATTTTAAAACGTTTCCAAATTTAGTTTTTCAAGTATCTGATCATTTTTCGGCGTAATCAAATAAAATTCCGGATGGGTCAACATATTTAAAAACTCTAGATCTTGTTTTGTGAAGTTTTGGCTCCTTTAAGGTGTAGTAATAAATTCTTGGGGACTCAAAAATTTTCAAATCATGTATTTTCACATTTCACTTATCACTGATAACACTTATAATGTACTAGAATATTAAATAGATCTTCCTTTTATAAAGTATACTGATTTGGGATTTTTCAAGCACGATGATTGACCAACATATACAATCAAAGAATGGAAATCATTGGAGGTTCCAAAGAAAAGGGATAAGTCAAATCGTTTCAAAAGGTGGAATCTAATCGTGACTGGGTAGGTTTATTTAGGTACGATGAATCTTCGACCACTGTCAAACTATATAAAATAAATTTATCATATTTCTGTTTTCATTACAGATGTAGGGGAAACATGTATGACACATGATGTCTAACAGGAGCATAATATTACCGGTATCAGCAGCTTCTTAACAATAGTGACTGACACCAGTTTACCACATACAGCTTGCAACCTGCGATATTCAGCCATTACAAGCAATCTATGAAACTTTGTAATACAATTTTTATTTTTTTGTCTGGGTCAATAATTAGGGACAGACAGACAGACATAGACAGACCGACGGTAATGAGTGGCATGGTTCTTCGGGATGATCATGTCATATAAAATACAAAAACAATGTCTCATTACAGTGCTGCCTCGCCCAATGGCATATAAAGTAAAATCGGCGAAGTATGTTGTGATTATAATGCAAGTAATTTATAATTACCGCAGTAGCTTGGCATGATGTTCCACGCATATCTTCAATCGTTCCATGACAACGCTCTGAAAACTTTGAGAGTTGAATCGCTCCAAATCAGAGCGATGGTGCTCGATACCTTGAGTCAGTCTCCTCAGCAGCTCCTTAAGGAGCATGTACTGTACAAGAAGATGCTGCACGCAATACATATACAAAATATCATAGAAGGCATTTCCTAAAATTGATAACAGAAGGTTCCATATCATAACAACGTAGATGATCTCATGTAATGGAGACGGATTGGTATCAAACGGCGTCCATATGATGTTGGGCAGAGGTCTTACTCCTTCAGGCATGTCCACCAAAGGAAATAATATCAAGAGGGCTAAACACATCATGGATAGAATGAACTGGAACAGAACGATCATGTTCGTGAAGTAAAAGCGTTTGAAGGCTTGTTGTTCGATCTTGGAACCTGCGACGTGGAAGTCCCAGAATTCGTACATTACTGTGTTGTAGAAGTAGGCCACTTTATCCCTGTTGGAGTAGAGAGCAAACATTTTGCATACTGCCTGAAAAATCGAAATCTTATGACCTTTTACTTCCTGATATCCAGAAAACAAAGTTGTTGTCGTCTTACCATAAACCTTACTGGATATGTCGCAACCAGCTCAGCTACCTTTTTAGGCTCATTCAGTGTTTCGTAAGCATAGATGGTTCTTCCTATTAGGATAAGTAGCTTCAATATAGCAGCACAATGCCAAAAATATTTCTTGTAGCCTTCAAATCCGTGCATTTCTTGACAAAACCTTATCTTCCCTATCGGGTCGACTGAAAAATATCGCTGAAGGTTTTCTTGGGATGAATTATATAAATACTACAAATTTTCAATCAATATACTAGTCAAATCTAAAATTTGCATCACTTTATCAAATAACATATTGATTTTTGATGTCTACAGGTTTATGAATTGGCAGCCTTGGTTGATTTAATGTCGATAACTTGAATTCAATTTTGAAACGTTTTTTTACATTTTATATGTTTAAAAATTTAATAACATATATAATAAGATGTTAAGCCTAGAAAGTAGAATTATCTTTGGCTGATAGTTTCATTTAGTCTGGGAATAGGTGCAGATGTTTCTTTGAATCGCGTTTGATGATTGTGGTCAATACAATGTAACAATTTTGGATTTTTTCTTAAATATACTGTGACATATAAATCCGAACACCCAGTTTAAATGGTTTTATTTTAATAAAATTTTGTATAAGTACTTAATGAAGCATAATAAGTAAATGATAAAAATTTCAAAATGATTGCACTGCTTTAAAGCCCTTTGACCTTTAATAATGTGTGGATGCACCCTGATGTGCTACGCATTCTCCAACGCGCCTAGGCATGCTTCTGATCAGGTGGTCAATGTCCTCCTGTGGTATCTCATTCCAGGCAACCACCAACTCCTCTCGAAGTGCTTCTAGAGTCTGAGGAGGACGTTGCAAATTGAGCAATCTCCTACCCATCATATCCCACACGTGCTCAATTGCGGATAAGTCGGGAGATCTTGGTGGCCATGGTAACAATGTGACATCATTATGTTGAAAGAAGTCTATTGTGACTCTTGCAACATGTGGTCGGGCATTATCTTGTTGGAAAGTTGGATCTGCCAGGGTGTCAAGATAGGGTAAAAGATGGGGTTCTAGAACTTCGTGGATATAACGCTGCGCGTTCATGTTACCTCTGATGAAGATTAAAGGTGACCTGGAACCATAAGCTATAGCACCCCAAACCATAACTCCAACAGTGTGATGAACATGTATTTCAACAAAAAACTGTGGATTCCTCCTTTCACCACGTCGCCTTCTAACCCTGGCACGACCATCGTGCATGCCTAAACAAAATCGAGACTCGTCACTAAAGACAATACTGTTCCATTCCTGATCCCAGAGTGACCGTTGTCTGCACCACTCAAGGCGATTACGTTGGTGTTCTCGAGTTAAAGGGAGGACCCAGTGTGGCCGGTATGAAAACAAGCCAAAACTTCTCATTCGTCGGTAAACACTTCGCATGCCAATAGGTCTTCCGTGTTCTGCAAACCATTCATTTGCAATGGATCTGGTAGTGGAGAAACGGTCCCTTAAGGCCAATAATCTTAGGCGGCGATCTTCACGGTCTGTTGTTCTACGGCGGCGTCCAGTGCCCCTTGCTCTTTGCGTACGGCCTTCTCGAAGCCATGTCTGACAACACCTAACCACAGTGTCTACACTTCTTTGCACTCTAACTGCAATTGCCCGAAAAGAAAGTCCAGCTTCCCGAAGTCCCACTATACGGCCTCTATCAAACTCACTAAGTTGACGAAATCGTACAGGTCTCCGTACTCTAGGCATCGTAACCGATCGTAAAGGATGTCAAGAACCAAAATCCGCCAACGTTGATTCTTTACTGCGGCTGAAATATTCATTTTTAGAGCGTTAGTGAATTAAAAAAAATCAGTATAAAACCGGAATGTCCAACTGATAAGGCTGAAAATTTTTTCACTTGTTATTTACAGTAAGATAAATACATTCACCAACTTTTATTAAAATAAAACCATTTAAACTGGGTGTTCGGATTTATATGTCACTTAGTATATATCATTGAATGTTAAAAATATATTTGCCGGCAGTCGAAAAGCTGAGATTCGTTGTAATGATTTTCTGTTGGAAAACACTTCTTTTTGATTAGCATAATCTCCAAAATCTACTTCTGCGTAATTTCAATCTTTATTTAATAAAAATTCATGACTTCACCCCATGCAAAGATTCCACAAGATAATATTGATTAAACAAGGGCATGATATATCATTTGTAGATATTTTTCACTTAAAAAATCTGCTGGTGTATTTGATTTTTGGAGTGGGGTAGCTTTTATTTAATGTTCAACGTATACAGGTATATTCCATGTTAGATGGTTATCTATGAACTCCAATCTTTGTCTGAATAAATAATTACCGAATCGTAAGCGTAATCAATAATTTCTCCAGCACTGTTCAACGTAAAAATATCATTAATATACAAATTAAAAAGGATTGGTCCTAATACGGTTCCTTGTGGACTCCACATCTAACTGATAGATTTTAACTTAGTGTACTGTTAATGTTCACACTTTGTGTTTTATCCTTCAAATGACTTTCCATGAGTTGATAAGTGGCTACACGACATCCTAAATTTTCCTATGTTTGTAATTATGTTCGATGCTTAAAAATGCATGCTCTTGTCTTATTACTATCAATGTGCTTGTAAATTTTGGTTGTTAGCTGAGTTAACTTTGCCCCCTGAAATCCCTATCGCTGTTCACAGATGAGATTGTATTTTGCAATAAAATTTGAAAATCGTATTTTTTGAAAAGTTTGTCAATGCAGAAATTGTGCGATATTTACAAAGTTTCTGTTTATCTCCAAATTTAAATATGTTTTATTATAGATTTTTTAATTGGGTCGTGGATCTTGCCATGCAGATATTTATAAGATACGCCAGTATCTTAGAAATTTTATAATTTATTTGTTTCAGATGGTACGCGGTTATATGATAAAAACCCGGTAATTTTTTAAACTGTAGCCCTTTTATCATATCTGCAACTTCCTATTGATCGATCGGTCTCAGATAATGAAATGTTGCGTTAAGTTTTTGGTACACATAAGTTGTATTTCATTAGAATTGTCTTTTCCCAGATTTTCACCAGAAAAATATTTAGAAAATTCATTACCTGTTTCGATATCTTTTTTTTGTAAGTTCGCCATTTTCTTTTTGTACAGTGGAAATTTCTTGGAATTTTTAGAATTGCTGTTAACTTAATCCTTTACAATTCAAATTGATTAAGAACTTCTAAATCATGTGGAATTTTTTTTGTTTCTTCACACTGTTTAATTTTCCTGTTAATAGATGTAATCCATTTGATATCCATGGCTGCCCTTTAACATTCCTTCGTGGAATCTTAATACGATTTGTACAACAGCTCAATATATATTGAGTAAACGAGAGACTGATGTCTAATCTGATTACTGTCAAAGAATCAAAGTCAACGAATTGACCTCAATTTTGCTTCTAGGAGACAATAAGCGTAACAGCAAAAATCGAAGTCGGTATTTCATACAAAATCGTCATTATAGTGTCTGTCAGTTTGTCATTTTTCCAGAAATCGTTTCTTCTATCAGGAAAGAATCATCGTTTACACATTTTTTGAATGATGTTTCTGTAATTTCACATTCATGCCTATTAAAATTATTATTTTGTTTATTTGTTTGTTTGTTTGTTGAAGACTTATTTAGCATTAATGATACAATTTCAATTTTGTATAATTATTCGTTTACACATTTTTCTGAATCCATTTACTGTAATTTCACATTCTTGTCCATTAAAATTACATCACTCTGCATTTTGAGTACCTATTCATAAAGTGATTTTTTAATTTCACCTTGAATTTTTTTAAAATCGAACACTGTTTAATATCATTATTCATTTTTTCAAACTCAAATACGCCCTTTTGAAATACAGATTTGCTAATATGCTACTATTACAATTTTGCAGATAAAAATCTATACTGCCTCTAGTTTCATAGCTATGATAATAACTATTTAATTTTGGTAATAAATGATTTTTTAATGTAAATATGAAAATGAGAACTAAATAACATATGAAATTTTTTACATTCAACCACTGTAGTTCTTTTAACATAGACTTAATCCTAGCATATTTGTTTTTATTTAACATGAATCTCATAGCTTTATTATATAGAATTTGTAATTTTGAAAATATGTTTTCATTTGCTGTAAGTAAGATGATTGAACAATATAAAAATTGGGGAAGGATTATAGTGTTATACACAAATTTTTTGTTAAACTCTATATAAGAAATAATATTTTATCTTTTTTGATATTTTTGAAATAATGTATGCATAATGCTCTTGAAACAGTAGCTTTCTTTCCACATATATACCCAGATATTTGAATAATTCGACTACTTAAATTTTTTCATCATAATCATGAGCCTAGTTATATTGTCAGGTAAATATTTCCCTATTGTCATACATTTTGTTTTATTAGTATTTAATTCAGGTTTATTAACATTTAACCAATTAAGTTCCTTTTAATATTACTATCTAATAATTCTGAAGCAGTTTCCAAATGTTTGTGTGCTATATGTGTCAATGTATCGTCCACAAATATATACTCCCCTGTGGCACCCCTACTGATATATTTTGAACGCTTGACATAATATTTCCATTTAGCTTTTTGCCTTCTATTTACTAAATAATTTTGTAAAATGTTTAATACTGATCCTTTAAAACTATAGTGATGTAATTCCATTAACAATGTTTCCATATCTATAGTCTCAAATGTCCTTTTGAAGTCTAAGAGTACTGTCACAATACATTCTTTCTCATCTATACTTCTTCTCCAGTCTCCCACCATCATTTGGATCATTTTGTGTTGTTCGTAATGAACATACGTTACTTATCTCATTTGCCGCTGATTTTCGTACTTTGACAAAAACCTAAGTAAATGTTAGTGAAGGATTTTATCAAAAACATATTTTCAACTACTAGCCAGATGGAAAACAGTAAGTATTCAATTTGTTCTCTTTTCCTATGAATCATTACTTACAAGAAATTCGGTGCTCTGGATATTTAGGATACATGAACGGCATTATCGGGCCTGATGGATAAGCTGATATGTTCTAAAAAATGATTTACTGGCGATACCTACCTATGGTTATCACATTATACTTGCTAGTGAAATTACATACTTTCCGCTTGCACAGTTAGCATAGGTGGAACATACATTCTATGCACATCGATAGTATCAGTCCAAGAATAAAGCTGTTAAAACGAAAGTTTGGTCAAAAGGTAGGATGTCGTATATACGAGAGCGGTCCGAGAAGTATTTATCCTCACCGTCTGATGGCGCCACTACCACAAGAGAAATTTCCTATCGTGTAGTACATTGATTCCCAAAGTGGTCTATATCGACCCCTAGGAGTCTATGACAACCTGCAAGGGGTCTACGTCAGCGAAAAAAAATTTGGGGATCCATGAAATGAATATGGGGGTCCACGATAGTGGATCTCAACACATACACTGATAGTACCTATTTACTTCCATCATACTATCTTATAATATCAAAACATATACATTATTTATAAAAGTACCTATGAAGTAAAAAATTTATTATATATGTTTATAAAATTGTGTAAGTTGTAGGATGTTGGTATTCGCTTTGTGGTCGCAATACATTCTGAACTTGTAAAAACCTGAGAGTCGCAAGTCTGAGAGCTTCGCTACCTTGCACTGACTTGTTCAATTCGTCACTCTATAAATACGAATGTGGGACAAATACGTTTATTCGTTTCCTGAATCTTGAAAAGGAAAGTGCTAAGAAAATATTTTAAAAAATATAAACAGATAGTATATCACACAAATTATAGTGAGTCAGTGTTATTTTGTTTGAGAGTGCTGTGGAAAAGTAAGTACATTATTTTTTATTAAATTTTAGTTTTGTACTCGTAGTTAGCAAAGATAGATAAATTACGTGAATCATGAGTTATTAGTAGTTAAATATTCAATCATGCAAAATTACACGAGTACTCCTCAATAGTTTCTTTTTGAAAGTTTTAGGAATCGGTAATATAATTACAGTGCAATCTCCGTAATTCGAGCTAATTGTTGCAAGAAGATGTTCGAATTATGGAATGTTTTCGAAAAAATCAAAAAATATTTTTAATATACAGCTGCTGGATTTTCTGTCTTATTTAAATAATTTAATTTTGCCCACAGATGACTGATGCCATGTCCGAATCTAAAAAGAAATGTAGACAGTACAGTGTTGATTATTTGAAATTTAGCTTCATTCTATCATTGCCGGACAAACAATCGCCTATGTGCCTTTTATGCAACAAAGTTTTGGGCAATGACGCTATGAAACCATCTAAACTGCAAGATCATCGGAGAAGATGCCACCCTGATAAAACAGAGAAAGATTTGAAATACTTTCAAACACTCAAAGATAAATTTCAGAAGAGACCTACACTGGACAGAATTTCGCTTCGACGTCACAAAGAAATGATGATGGTTTGCGGGCGTCTTACAATATCTCGTTACTTATAGCAAAATCCGGAAAACCGCATACTATCGGAGAGAAGTTAATTTTGCCAGCCGTTGAAGAGGTTTTAAAAACTGTTCTACACAAACCTGCATCTGATATCATCAATACTGTTGAAAGACGTATTGATGAAATGAGTTCTGATATTGAAAGCTTCTTATGTAATTATTTGCAAACGACACCCTATACAACTGGACGAGTCAACTTTACCTGATAATGCAGCATTATTATTGGCATATGTTCATTTTATTATGAATCAAGAAATCTACGAAGAACTGCTCTTCGCAAGTACTTTGATAACCGACACTAAAGGTGAATCAATATTTCGTGCTTTGAAGGATTACTTCATTGAAAAAGCAATTACTTTATCAAATATAATATCAGTAGCTACAGATGGAGCACCTGCCATGGTTGGACGTTAACGTGGACTTATAAGCTATTTAAAACAAAATGTGTCAGGGGTGTTAGCAATACATTGCGTCATCCGTCGACAACATTTAGTTGCTAAAAATTTGAGTGTTAGATTGCATGAATCACTTCATTTAGTCATTGATGCAGTAAACCGAATCCGAAGCAACGCGTTGAATACGCGCTTATTTGCGCAGTTGTGTGAAGAAAATAACGAACACTTTCATCAATTACTCCTTCACACTGAAGTACGCTGGCTGTCGAAAGGCTTATGTTTGTCAAGATTTTTTGCACTTTTTGAGACTATTTTAGAATTTCTGGATACTAAAGATAAAGTTAAACTAATGAAGCAAAATGTTGGACGGGGCGGGCGCATTTTCTCAGTTCCCCAATTTGTCACAGATAAGCTGCCAGGAAGACGACGTTTCAACTTACGTTCAACATTTAAATGCCCTCTATTCAGATTTTGAATCTAGGTTTGAGGATATTTTGACTATGGTAATACCACCGTGGATAATTAATCCATATGGTGACATAGAAGAAACGAATGTCATAGTACAAGAGGAACTGACTGAACTAAGTACAAACGAAGAACTTAAGGTTCAGTTTAAAAACGGATATCAGCAATTCTGGCTGCAAAACAACATACGCGTTACTTATCCCGTATTATGGAATATAGCGAGGAAATTTTTAATTTCCTTTCCATCGTCATACCTAGTGGAAAGGGGGTTCAGCGCTGTAACCAATCTCCTAACGAAAAAAAGAAACAGACTGGACATCATTAGCCGATGAGATTTAAGATTAACCCTTACAAAATTGACGCCAAATGTTGATAATTTATTATTAAAGCATCAGGTTCATCCTTCTCACTAAAAATATTGACTTATTGCTTATGTTATTTTATTTATAGTTTATTTTATGTTTATTGGTGTCTGACCAATAAATGCCCGCATTGGGAATAAGTGCCCGCATTGATTTTTTTGAAGAACCCCCCTTTATAGAAAATATTTTTTTTTAATTATTCTGAAAATTCAAGGATAGGTACACACTAAAATTCGTTAATTTTTTGCCTATTTTTAGATAACTTAAACGTATAAGAAGCGGAATTTAATCAAAACTAACAGTGAAATTATTGTAGAACATACGTTTATGTTATAATTAATAAACGAACTCGCTTATTGTACTATTTTAAGTAAAAAACTTTTTTTTTATTATTTTTCACTTTTTTTTATTTTATCCCTCTTATTTTTTTTATCAATGCGGGCACTTATTCCCAATGTGGGCACTTATTGGTCAGACACCTGAATATTTAATGTTACGTATATTTTACATAACAGATACAAAATTTTATTTTGAGTAGTTTTAATTTAAATTAAATTAATAAATGTATAAATTAACATGTGTTTTTACTTTAAGTTTTTAACACTGAACTTCACTACAGTTAGAAATTTACAGAAAATCAATATCAGGTAAGTAGGGGGTCTACCCAACACGGAAAAACATGGCAAGGGGTCTACGACACAAAAAAGTTTGGGGAACTCTGGTTTAGTACATTCTGGTAGACGGCAACTGTCAACATTTAAACCGAATCGGACTAGTTTTGTTTTGACCGCATGTGGAAGCGGGCGTGTCCGCGGATTTTAGAAAAATGGAAAAACAGCAATATTGGTCGGTGATTCGATTCTTGTTTTTGGAAGCGAAATAAAAACTATGTATCTGTTTTAAATATATTTTCTATCCTTGCTTAATAATGCAATCATAATTTTATTGATGGTCAAAAATTTTTACTAGAGATCCGATTTTTGCTTTTTTCATTGATATGCAAGCTTTTAAGAAACTACTTTTTTGTAATAACAGTTTCCAACTATAATTTATAAAGGTAAATGACGTACTTTTTTAAGTTACTTCTGGCTGATTTTCCTATTTTTTAAATCAATATCAAAATGGGGGACCGATTTTGGTTACTTCCCTCTACTGCGGAAATGTTAGTAAAAGTTTTCATCAAAAATCTATTTCTAGCTCTGGCCAGATAATTTTCTATTGCAGTTTTCATCTCTTCCTATATGTGGTTATCACATTATTCTTGCTATATTGAAATATCTTTCCGTTGCCGTAGTCACCGTGGGTGACGCAGATAAAAAATAGTATCAACCCAACGATAAAACTGTTAGATGAATATTTTACCGATAATTATATGTCTCAAATGTCAAAAGTCTCGAATGGTATGTGATTGTGATTTTTCTCAAGTGTGACAGCTCTCTTTGAAGAGCGGGGGTAGCTAACTAAACAAAACCATGTTAAATATGCAAATTTTAAAGTCCAACCAAACTTTGGTGGAAAAGCTTCAGAAGTACAACACCAAATATCACTTTGCCCCAGTATTCTCCAATGGTAACTTCGTTCCTGGTTTGAAATTCAAGGTATCTTTCTTCCTGCTCTGTGATAGTTTTTACATCGAGTATTTTTTCCGAGCTGGGAGTGTGTGTTGTTTTCATGACAGTTTAATCTCAGCTACGCCACTGTATTATTGAGAGGGCGAATTATCCAAATGTCGACCCCTCATTATTGATAAGCCCGAACAGGTGGAATTTTGCATCGGCTGAAAATCACCACTTACATTTCAATTTTTGATGAAGTAACATCACGTATGGATGGGCATTGGTTATTTTTTCATAACTACTCATACACCTGCGAAAAAATAATACTCGACCTTGTACGAGTAGTGGGATAGTCGATAACCGTTTTTGCCAATTGGGTCACAATAATATTTAAATCTGTGATCAGAATTTCTACATTTTTTGTGCTCTGGGATAGTGGTATAACGAATATTCAGGACATTCGTGCGAATATGAATATCAGAAAAAGAGAACTTGAAATTGATAATATTAACTTCTTAAATCAAACAAAAAATATCAGTTTTTTTTGCTAGAAAAGAATGTGGTCATAGACAAACAAAAACTCTATTCCTTGCACATTTTTTCCTTGGTCTCCAAAAAGAACAGATGAGCTAACCCTGATCGGAACAGAACCGCAAAAATGAAATTTTTCTAATTTATCATGGAGCTGCATTCAAGACTAAGCATTTGAACGGTCTGCTGACATAGATTGCCGCAAAAATATAATTGTAAGCATAGGTAAAAGGCTTATAATTTCAATTCGGTGGATTTTGCAACATAAATCTACTCTAGATGCCACAAGTGTCGTTGTCGTTGCTCTTAAAATCACGAAAGCGTTCAATCAGATACAAACTTCCATCGTATGGCTGACATCCTCTCTGGTCGCAGAATATCCGTCGTGATTGACAGGTTCTCCTTTTCATCCCACAACGTCAACGCGGGTGTGCCCCAGGGATCAGTCTTGGCTCCGACACTGTTCCTGAACGACCTCCTTTTCTGTAGGGTCGATCGAATCTACAGCTTTGCTAATGACAACACTCTACATGCAGGAATTCGGAGTGACAATTCGATCTCGGTCGGTGAGCTGGAGAAAAGGAGACTAGCAGCGACTTCCTCTCTGGCGAGAGTCATTACTGATTGGAGACAATCCAATTTAACGCTTCCAAAACTCAGTAAGGTAGCTTGACGAACAAGAAGCTTTCTAGCGGTCATCCGGTTTCGATGGATGGACGTGTTCCACCTAAGAGCCGTTCATTCCGGCTGGCCGGAGTCCAGATCCCCGAGGACTTGATCTGGCACGAATACATCTCGTCAATAGCGGCAGCCACTGGGAAAAAGCTAGGCCATTTGTTTAGGACTAAGAAATGCTTTTCTCTACATGGCCTCCTCACTCTGTACGAAGCCCAGATAAGGACTAGCCTCGAGTACTGCTTACATGTTTGGGGTGCTGCCGTATCGACTACATTATCCATGCTCGATGCTGTTCAGGGAAGGGCTGTCCGACTGATCGATGACTCTTCTCTAATGGACAGTGTCGGGACCCTTTTGCACTCCAGAGCAGTCGCCGATCTAGCTCTCTTTTACCGCTACTCCGACGAGCTCTACTCAGTGAAGACAAATCTCACTCAGCTGAGGTTAGTTAAACTGAGTTTTGGTAAAAAGAATGTAACAAACCGAGCAAACTAAAGTGAGATTGTGTAATTATGGAATAACAACTTCAAACAAACACATTCTTTTCTACTGCTATCAGTCTTTGATTAAACATGTTTTACAAATAAAAAAGACAAATAGAAACAATTCTTTACTTAAACTTGTGCTGGACAAGAAATATACTTTTACAAACTAGATACCTATTTGCTTGTTTCTTATTTCTTTAATCCAATAATCAAACAGAACTAGATAAATATAACACTTCAAATGCAAAACCTTCGTAAGCCTCAAGCATTCAAGCATGTTTTGATGTGATATATCTGTACAGGGTGTTTCAGAAAGATGTGTCAATATTTCTAGGACTGAAAGTACATACATACATACAAATAACAAAAACAAGTTCCTAGAACATTACGTTAAAAACCTATATAATGTCAAAAAACCGAAAGCTTGTTGACTAAGCAGGCTAGTCTGCAAATAGTTCATTCTACGCTTGCTACAAGTGAGCGTAAAATATACTACAGCTAGTTCCAAGTTGACGACTTGTAGGGAAACCTACATAATGTCATAAAAAACCTATATGAAACAAAACAAAAAACGACATAATATCACTTTTCAAATCATTTAATACCCCTGCCGAGCGAAGAAGATATTGAGTTAGGATCTTAGACGTTCAGTGAGCACATCATCAGCCATAAGCACGTTTCTCGGTCCAAACTAAAGCAGAGACTAGAAACTGGGGTACCTGGGCTTCTATATAGGAAATGTTTTCTACGCCACTGGCTTTTCCGGATGAAAGAAGTGCATCTTAGAAAAAACCACTCCGTTTTCCATAAATTTTGTCTCTTAAGGAATGTTTGTCAAATCACTCGTTTTGGAGATATTTAGGTTTGAATATTAGAGATAAAATCCCAAAATATTCTTATGAAAAGAATTATTTTGAAAACATCTTGAAGGCTTCAAGATATAGGAAGCACTATAATATGGCATGTGAGGAAAGCTATGGCAACTGATTACAACATTAAGTGATTTATATGCGTGTCCTATCCACAATCAGTAGCGTAGAAACGTACCTGGTATTACCCATCATATTATATTCTTCTTTTTAGCTAAAATAACAACTAGTAATTGTGGAACTAATCAATTTAGGTAAAATTCTTATTATTTTACTTCTGAAATTATTGGCATTTTTTCTCGAAATTCTTTAGCATTTCGGATTCACACAAATCGTTAGCCACCTCGGGCAGACATCGTATGAGGACGAAGTATACATTCAAAACTGCGTGCGGTATTTTCCAAAGAGTAAGAGTCCTTGTGGTGTAGAGCACGGGCTGTTGAATCCCGAAGTAGTCACCTTCACCACCTCCTTCAGGTTGTAATCTTTATTGTTGTCATGTTGCCATATAGTGTTTCCAATCTCAAGCTTCACGGTGTTTTCAGAATAGGTGAAACTAAAACTTTTCATAAGAATATTTTAGGACTTTGCCTCAAGTATTCAAACCTAAATATTTCCAAAACAAGTGATCTGACAAAGACTCCTTAGGAGACAAAATTTATGGAAAATTGAATGACATTTTATCAAATGCACATCATTTCTCCGAAAAGGCCAGTGGCGTTGAAAATATTTCCTATTAGGGGTCTAGGTACCTCAGATTCTACGTCGCTGGCTTAGTTTGAGCCGGAAGACTCTGCGGGTTTATTGCTTATGTGCTCACTAAACGTCTGTAATGTTAACTCAGTATCTTT